ATTATTATCATTATTATTATTATCATTATTATTATTATTTTTGTTATTATTATTATTACTATGATGATGATTATCATCATTACCATTATAGCGCAGAACGTACCGTAAACGGTTCCAGCTCTCAGAACAGGAAACACAACAAACTAGAAACGTTAATTCATTGTCATGCGGATAAACTTGAAACGATCCTATCTGCACTCGATCAAATTTATGATATTGAAACATGAGAAATACCAGTATGCGTGAGAATGAAATATTGCCAAGCGTAGAGGTGATCCCTTAGGTTCTATGCTTTGGTGAAATGCTTTTCATAATACTCGAGTTTAACCCTTAAAGGACGAAACCCACACAAGTTTCCAATCAGTAGATCAAAGCTAATGTTGTTTGCATTTTTAGTTATCGTACATAATCAAACTTTATTACCCGCATTTTTATAATTTATAGTATGAGTGTTGTAAGCCTGCTTTTGACAGTTCCAGATAAAGGGAATCGAATTTTTAAAATAAAAATTTGCGTGAATAATGAGGTACAACTTTTTAAAGAAAGTTCCCGCGATATTGTATCTTCTAACGGTGGATGGAAGATGGCCAGAAAGTACGTCTACAACGAGTTAATAGCTTGCATAATAGCAGGGGTTTCGATCTGAATGGAGAACTTATCAGAAGCAGAGACTGAGAGGGGGGTTAACAGTTCGAGAAACGTATGCCGTATAGAGAGGTGGATTGAATGTGGTAGACATTTATCACCGTGACACAATCGCTTCTTTAGACTGGGACATGTTGACTAATCGTGGTTTAATTTAACAAGACCCGGGCAAGTGCAAATAGCTGAAGAGGAGAACTGCTTGCTCCTGGGGTTTCTATTATAATGGCTTTATGGTTCTATGTTTGTTGATTATTGTTAGGTGCTTGATATTTTAGGATGAACCGAAATTGGTTAGTGTATGTGTGCGTGCGTGCGTGCGTGTGTGTGTACGTGTGAAGAAGGAGGTGATACTCGCGTTATTATTGGACCACGTTTAGCTCCTGCCTTTGTGGTCGTGAGTAGTTTGGGAGGTGGGTGTCTGGTGGATTACAGGTTCTCTGGTGGATTACAGGTTCTCTGGTGGATTACAGGTTCTCTGGTGGATTACAGGTTCTCTGGTGGATTACAGGTTCTCTGGTGGATGCCTCTTCGTTTTGTTTTCCCCCCTTCCTTTTGCCGAACAGACCACATGGCCGTTGATGTGTCGATAGTCCATATGCTTCACTTCCCTCGAACTCTGTGGTTTATTTGAGTGACCTCATGGTCTTACTAACTCAACGAGGCTCTCGTGGCCTAGAGATTAAGGTGTTCGCCTCTCATTCAAAGGTCCCGGGTTCGAATCCGAGTAGTGACCGAAACATTTTCTTCTCTAAAATTGTCTCCTTTCACCTCCTTTCCTGCTCTCTACCAATGTTCTGTCGTCTGCTTTCGTCTCTACTTACTGCTCCCACCTCATACCTCCTTTGCCCCCTCCTCTGGGCTCCTGACTCTTTCTGCAGCCTTTCTTTCAGCCACACCCCTTATCTTCTGGTAGGAAAGATCTACACCTAGCCTTCTCGGACAAGGTCGAAAAATCTCGGACGTCCTATGTGCAAGTTGCGCACGTTAAAGATCCTTTGGTAGTCTAAAATCGATAAGAGTAGGCTTCGGCCGCCACCCTGGCAAAATTAAAAATTTCCTACCAAGTGAAAAATGTTTAATGTGTCCCGCGCGCTCATTTTATGACCTTATGCA